GCAAAGATGAGAAACAAAATGATTAGGGGGATGGAATAGCCTCCATATGAGGTGAGATTAAAAAGACTGGGACTGTTCAGTTTAGAAAAGAGACAACTAAGCGGGGATATGATAGAGGACTACAAAAGCATGGATGGTGTGGAGAAAGTGAATAGGGAACTGTTACTTACCCCTTCGCATAACAGAAGAACCAGGGGTCACCCTCACCCAATGAAATTAATAGGCAACAGGTTTAAAACAAACCAAAGGCAGTATTTCTTCACACAATACACAGTCAACCTGTGGAACTCCTTGCCAGAGGACGTTGTGAAGGCCAAAAGTATAATTGTGTTCAAAAAAGAATTAGACAAGTTCATGGAGGACGGGTCCATCAATAGTTATTTGTCAAGATGGGCAGGGATGCAACCCCATGCTCTGGGTGTCACTAAACCTCTGACTGCCAGAAGCACCTGGCACTGGGCACTGTCGAAGACAGAATACTGGGCTAGATGGACCTTTGGTGTGACCCAGTGTGGCTGTTCTTATGAAAGCAGGTTGTTGGACAAGACCCATGTTCCATAAAACCATGTTGTCTGGCATTAATTACATTCCCATCCTTTAATCAACTCAATCCCTCATCAGCTCTTCCATTATTTTGCCCAGGCTCAGCAGTGTCAGTAGGACAGTCCGGTCCAGTCCGGTCCGCCGTACCTGCAAGATATTTACAGCTGGTACGGTGTGCCGAAAAGAGGAGCAGCCGAACGTGGGGCCCCTGGGCGGGCAGCTGTACCACCCCCACCCTTCCCCGCAGGGTCTCCTCCGTCTGACAGCAGCCGCGCCGGAGGACAGGGCTGGGGGTGCGGCTGGGGCAGTGCAGCCGCCGGAGGAGCGGTTGGTGTTCTGCTCCTTTCCCCGCTGCGGTTCCCGCGAGAGCCCTGACCCACAAAGGGGAAAGGAGCAAAACGTCAGGCCACCGGGTGGCCCCAGACCGGCACTTCCTCCGGCACCGCTGCTGTACCAGCCCCCAGCCCTGTGCTCCAGCGGGGCCGGCTGCTGTACAGACAGAGGAGACCCTGCAGGGAAGGGCTGGGGGCGATACAGCCGCGCTGGAGGAGCTGTGGGCGTGGGGCTGCCCAGCGGCCCCATGTTCTGCTCCTTTCGCCGAGCGTGGGGGCCCCTGGCTGGGGGCGGGGTGGAGTCACATGCCCCCCATGGCTCCCTCTGTACCGGTAAGAAATGGATTCCACTTGCACCACGGCCCAGGCTCGATACCAGGCTAAACTACAGTTACGACGAGCAGTTTGCTTTATGGAAAAGTAACACCGGGGAAATATTGGATGTCGCTGTAGCTGCAATGTAGAAGCTGGAAACAGAACGAATCAGCATCATGCAGCCAGCCGGCGCTTCACCGATTCCCACTGCTCCACTGGCCCCTGGGACCCATGCAGCCAGCGCCTGAGGGGGGCAATAGAGAGCTGTGTGATTGAACGCTGGCGCTCAGCACGGCTGGTTAATCACATGGCTTTCCTTGGAGTGGTCTGTCTGACTGGGGTCAGAGATTCTCCATCTAGCGCAGGGGTTCTCAGCGTTTTTCTTTCTGAGCCCCCCCCCCCCCATGCTATAAAATCTCCATGGCCCACCTGGGCCACAACTAGTTTTCTGCATAGAAAAGCCAGGGCTGGCGTTAGGGGGTACCCAGCAGGGCAGTTGCCTGGGGCCCCCATTAAGCTACATTGCTCCGGCTTCAGCCCGGCTGGGGAGGCTCGGGGCCCTGGGCTTCACCCCTCTGCAAAGGGGCTTTGGCTTTCTGCCCTGGGTCCCAGCGAGTCTAATGCTGGCCCTGTTTGGAGGCCCCCCTGAAACCTGCTCGAGGCTCCATAGGGGGCCCTGGACCCCTGGTTGAGAACCACTGGACTAGTTTATCTGTTCTGCAGTGCTCGGCCTGGCCACCACCTGCACTTCGCAGGACTGGCCTCCATGCCCATTGTACAGAGAAGCTAACCTGCACTCCTGCAAAGCAGCCCTTCTCCCATTTATTCCCTCTCACTGGCTCCTGCCCGTCAGCTGTGGGGCAGAGAATGAGATCTGCACTACACAGCCACCTCCTGGCCCTTAGAGAGAACGGCTTGTGAGGCCCCAGCTGACACACTAACTTTTAGTTGATATTATTTTAATTGTTCTTTTGAAGGAAAAAGAAAGCAAACGCAAGACCACATACAGACATTACAGCGCTACACCGTTACCAACGCCCCACACAATACAGAGCATGCAGAACTTCGGCTAAGGTACATTCATTGAATCCCACCGCAGCACTCACTTCCCGTCTCCTCACTCTGGCATCCTCTTCCAGTCCCTTCTCAGATAGGACTCCCTCCAAGCCGGCTAAGCTCCTCCCGCCGGCACACCATGCTGCACTGGGGTTTTTCTGTTGATTTCTGTGCTTTTGATGGCTGGCGTTTTGCTGGACAGACTAGTCTCCAGTGAGAATACGCCACACGACTTATTAAAGGGAAACTGTCAACATAATAAATACATAAAACTCTGCTCTAGTATTACGCAGAAAAAATGAAACCATCTCCTTATGAATCAGGCTGGTTTTAGTTCACATTTTGCACTTCAGTCAGCTTGGGAGGTGGAACTAGATATCTTGCTTTGCTAGAATCATAGAATATAGAGGTTGGAAGGGACCTCAGGAGGTATCTAGTCCAAAACCCTGCTCAAAGCAGGACCAATCCCCAGACAGATTTTTGCCCCAGATCCCTAAATGGCCCCCTCAAGGATTGAACTCACAACCCTGGGTTTAGCAGGCCAATGCTCAAACCACTGAGCTATCCCTCCCCTCTCAGCTCAGCCCAGCCCAGCCCAGCCCAGCCCTTTGACCATTACATTCCCATGTTCAAGTCCCAGGCCCCCTGTGGTCTAGGCCCAGCTCTGAGAGGGGAGGGGGGTTTACAGGACTAGAGAGGGGAGCTGGGAGTCAGGACACCTGGCTTCTATTCTATGCTCTGGGAGGGGAGTGAGGTCTAGAGAACTAGAGCAAGAGGGAACTAGGACTGCTGGATTCGATTTCCAGTTTCCTATATGACTTTGGGCTAGTCCTAGCTCTCTGCGCCTCAGTTTGTCCAAAGTGGGGGTGCTGAAGCCTTCCTGGTTGTAGTCCACTTCACTTCCTGTCCGCATGGTAACACAGTGCCACTCAGCACGGCAGGGGATTGATTAAAAAAAACCCCAAACTGGTTCATTGAAATTAAAACGCAACAGGGAAGAGGGTTTATTCCTGTTGGGTTTTACAAAACCTTCACCCAACCTACATTTGGTACCTACATCTCCTTACAGCAACCAGATGATTATCAAACCCGCAAAGGCCCAGGCAAGAAGCCACCACAAATCCTGCACATCAGAAACACCCGCAGCAGACGGACTGAAGTGTCTGGCCAGCGATACTCAGAACTTAGGGGTTCAGGAGCCAAATTAGCGATCAACGTGCCCCCAAAAGCCCCACAGCGTGACCGACAGGGGACATACTTGGTTTTATATATAATTATTCTCACAGCAAATAAATTACTAACTTAGAGCAAGCTGATAACTGAATTGGTTAATTACATAGTAAAAGCATCATGCGCTGCAAAGAGCCGCAGGAGACCCCTAAAGAGCCGCTTGTGGCTCGCGAGCCCCAGTCTGACTATCCCTGGTCGAGGTGATGGGCTCGGTGGGTAAAAGCTGCAGATTAACTCTCTTGTAGCGAACACTGGAGAGGCAGTGACAGCAGCTGTCAGTCCAGCCTCGGGTGGCACTTCCACAGGTCCCAGGAGATGGTGGTCACCCTAGGATCTCACTCCCACACCCAACGGGCCCAATCGGACTCCTGTTCAAGTCAAATCAGTGGGATCCAACTCCTGAGCAGCACAGAGAATCCACTGCTGTATGGCGATAGGAAACCGGCAGGAGAAATCGCTTTAAAGGACAGGAAATGGACACAGCAGACACTTGAGTTCAGGGCACAAGAGAGATATGGAGGGTAGGAGCCGCATGCCAGGTGGAAGGAGAAGTGCAGGATTGCCAAGGATTGGCACAGGGTATCTGCCACTTTTAGAGGCTTTTAATTTATTGATTAGAGAGAAAAATCTACCCCCCTTTTGTGTGTGTATGAACATGGATTTTATCCAGCATGCTGCATCATTCCATAGGGACTTGAACGTGACTAGGAATAGCATCTTCGTGCTAGTCGCGAATTTAAAATGCTCTGTGATTTATACAGGAGACATACGGGAAGGATAAAATCAAAGCAGACCATTGCTAATTACGTCACTCAACAAATGAAAAAAAAAAAAAAAAAAAGACAGCATTGCCACAATGTTCTGCCAAGATCTGCTCGAGTGGTGTAGTGAGTTCTCATATTACTCAGACTTCCTCGCTTCCACAAAGTACACCGCAGCACACTTCCTAATAGACTACAGCATAAACAACCCTAAACGGCATGCCCGAATAAATGAACAATGTTCTTTACAAGGCAGCAGCCTGGCTCTTTGATTATACGCTCAGCGTCTCATTTGCAAGATTCAGCAATTTTCACAGACACTTGTGCAAAGTAGCCCAGTTCTACTCTAATTAGAAAGCTAGCGTACGTCATGGGGCACTTCTTTATATTTTGGTTACGATATTTTAGTGTATTTACTAGGCAGCCAAACAACCTATACATTTAGGAGGCCAATCCAGTTGCCTGTAGAAAATTCGTACTCTGGAGAGGAGACTGACACGTCAGTTGCTTTTAAGCAAGGTCCTACAGCAAGGATGGGCCTGGGGAGTTGAGTGTGTGTGTGTCACAAATGTCACTTTTGCACACCCAGGTTGGAAGGTAGTTTCCAAGGAGGCTTTTCGGTTGGCCTCTGAAGACATGCTGTCTCACAGGAGCAGTTCTGCCTAACCTAGAGCTCACGGTGTTTCACTCCTGCATCTTGTCAGATCCCAACTCCCGGACATAGCGTTTGCCACGTTCCACCCACACAAATGGTTCTCTCTCACGTGTGGCTCCTCTGATGTAGCACAAGGCGTTTGCTCTGCATGAACCTCTTCCCACACTCATTGCACACCAAAGGTCTCTTGCCAGCCGGGGTTCCCTGTTGGGCTCTCAGAGGTGGCTTCTGACTAACGTTTGCCCTGCACTGTGGGGTGCTGGTGAAGGGCGTTTGCTGGACCACGGGCTGTGGGCTCCGACTAGCACCTGTCCTCGTGCTCTTCAGCAGCGCCTGCTCAGTGTGAGTTCTCTGGTGTGCCAGCATTATCCGCTCGTCCCGGAACCGTTTCTCGCATTCCGCACACTGATACGGCTTCTCCTCTGCCGGGACCTTCTGGCGGCAGAAACCCACGTCATCCTCCAGGCCTTCCTCCCCTTTGCCACGTGGCCTCTTGCCCCTGTGCACCCTCTGGTGGCTTTTCAGGTGCTGCTTCTGGCTGCAGGTCTTCCCGCACTCGTTGCACTTGTAGGGCCTCTCGCCTGTGTGGATCCGCTCATGGATGATGAGGGTTTTCTTGTCCTTGAAGCTCTTCCCGCACTCGGGGCAGGCAAAAGGCCGCTCCCCCGTGTGGATGCGCTGGTGGCTGATCAGATGGTGCTTCTGGCTGAACCTGTGTCCGCACTGAGCGCAGGAGAAGGGCTTCTCCCCGGTGTGGGTGCGCTGGTGGCTCAAGAGATGGTGCTTCTGGCTGAAGTTCTTCCCGCAGTCCGAGCACTGGAACGGCTTCACTCCCCTGTGCACTTTCTGGTGGGACACGAGGATCTGCTTGAGCCGGAAGCTGCTCCCGCACTGCAAGCACAGGAACGGCCTCTCCGCCGTGTGGGTGCGCTGGTGCTTTTTGAGGTCTCTGCCCTTGTTGAAGCTCTTCCCGCACTGAGCGCACGTGTACGGCCGCTTGGGTGCCTGAGGGCTTCTCTGCAGCTTCTCAGAAAGGCTCCTCCCTCTCTCGGGGGCAGCATCCTCCTTTCCCATGTGGGTTTTCTGATGTCTCTTCAGGTCTCCCTTGGATGGGAAACCCTTCCCGCACTCAGGGCATTTAAAGGGCCGCTCCCCCGTGTGACTCCTTTCGTGGATGGTCAGGGCCGTGTTACTCTTGAAGCTTTTGTCGCACTCCGGACACGTCGGGGGAATCTTCTTTAGCGAGGCGTTTTGGGGAGGAGCCCTCGGGGGTTTGTCCTGAGCATTCGCCACCCGGCTTCGCAGCTTCTGGCGGGATTTGCTTCGAGCCAGGCCGCTCTTCTTCTTCACACACTGCGGCGGGCTGCTCCCGTCCTCCAACGTTCCCGAGAACGCACTGGGCGGTTCCGGGGTCTCTGTGTCTTCCTCCTGCTCCTCCTTTTTAATCCTGATTCCATCATCTACTGGAAAGAAGACAGAGGGAAGAGTCCAGATGTTATTTCAGGTGCGGAGGATGGAAAGAAACTGCCCATTCAACAAGACCCCCCATTCCAGAGGGAATCCCAATAGGTTCCCAGTGAGAATCTGTGAACGAATCTGCTGGGAAGTTCAGCGATTGGGAAATCCCCTCTCTTCCCACAAATTACAGAGACATTCCCATCACATCCAAGTTTCTACCGCCCAAGAAATAGCCAATGGAAGGCAGCTGCATTCACCTAAACAGGTCTGGCTCCCACGACGGCGACCTGAAAAATAACCCCCACCGAGACACAGATTCTGCTCTCAGTCGTACCAGTGCAGCCCAGTGACTTCAACAGAGCTATTCTGGCCTAAGAAAGCCCGTTTCGGCCACTACGCCCAGCCTGCAGAGGCAGTCAGGATTATAAACTGGGGATTCCTGCCAGTCACGTTTCTATTTTATTCAGCCTAGGTCTGACCGCACCCTCCCCAGCGCAGAACGTGAGCGTACAGGAACACGAACTCTGCAGTGGCCTTACAAGCGAGTAACTTTCTCGCACCTGGAGTGGTGTGGGAGCGGGAGGGACTCCGGCTATGAGTTAATTAGTCCTGTTGGGAAGTCCCGATTGGCTCCAGCCATGGAGGAATTCTAGCTATACACTAACAGAGTTAGGGACACTCTTCCGACACACACAGGCTTCAGCACTGTATGGGTCCCTCATTGCCTTTAATGAATGTTACTCTCAGTCCAACGCTCTGTTCATCAGGCCACCCTTGGAATGTCCAACTCTTCTCTGTCTAGCTCAGACGTGGGCAAACTACGGCCCACGGGACCGTCCTGCCCGGCCCCTGAGCTCCCGGCCGGGGAGCCTAGTCCCCGCCCCCCCCGCAGCCACGGCGCCGTGCGGGCCACACTCTGGCCCACCACTCCTGCTGGGCAGCCTGGGGAGCGCAGCTGGCTCTGGCCAGGTGTCGCGGCTGTGAGCTCCTGCTGCTGGTAAGGGGGTGGGGAGCGGGGGGG